TTCTTTATCCAAAGTAATATCATTTAAGTCTCCATTGTTCCAAACGTTTAAATCGTCTGCACTAAATGGAATCTAAAATTAAAGAATAGATAAACAAAATGTGAAAAGGTTAAGGCATGGATTTAAATTTTCTTACATTTGGAAAAATTGTACTTTTCCCTTGAAAAAGTCTAGAAAGGGGGATCTCGTCCTCATCATCAAACTCAAAATTTTCAAAAACTAGAATTTTTCCAACATTTAGATAATGCGTCCTCCTTAACATTGTTCCAGGCGAGACCAATCATACAGGATGAATCATAAAGAGAAAGACTTTTTAAAAAATTAATGATGTCATCTGTTTCAGATGCCACTATTTTTAAAAGGAGGCTATTTCTGTAGTGCAATTTGAGTAAGCGAATGGCGTTTTGGTCCATTGGCTGGATAAGAGGTGTCACGTTTGGTGGCATGTACATTGTCCAAATTTTCCCATCTTCTGTATTTTTTACGAGTTCCTCTGCAGGAAGATGACTTGAAGCATTGTCCAGTATCAGCAAAGCCTTCATTGGCAAATTATTTGATTTTAAATATGACTCGATCTAATAACAAAAGTTTATAATAATCTGTTGCAAATGTCTTTTAAACATTTCAAAAAACCAAACTTTAAAAATTCCGGTATTCATCCATGCATTTTTTGAGTGCAGATAATTAACTGGTAAAACTTTTTTTCGAAATGATCGAGGTTTTTTCGCCTTTCCAATAAGAAGGGGCGTCATTTTCTTTTTTCCTGATGCATTAGAGCATAGAAGAGCAGTTATCCTTTCTTTGGATAGTTTTCTTCCAGGTGCTGTTGATTCATCAGCATGAACAAATGTTTTGTTTGGAACAAACCTGTTTAATCAGCATTAAATATAGAATCAAAAAAATTGAATGATAAATCATCTTCTCGAATAACTCTCTGCAACTTCCTCTTAAACGGATCCACCAAATCTTCTCTTGACGACAATTTTTCTCCAGATTCCTTCGAAAGTCGTACACCATACCTTTTTTTAAATCTGGGTAACCAATCCATCACTAGCATGAAAACCACCGGTGCAGAACTGGTTTTGAATTTCCATAGCCTTAAATTTTAATGTTGTCCCATTGACCGGAATAAAATTCTTTCTTTGATTAAGAAACCACTGATAGAGTTTTTCTTCCATTACGGGATATTCTCCCTTTCTGAGGGATCGACGGTTTTTTGATCCATTGTTTGTAGTTCCAAGTATTGAAACGATTTTACTTTCCATTTTCTTTAATGTACATACGGATGATTTTGATATTTTATATTTGTTTGAAATCACTGAAAGCGATATTCCATTTTTGCACTCTTCTAAAATTTTTATTTTTTCACTTAAAGAAATTCTTTTTCTATTTCCCATCTTTTTATAAAATAAAACTCACAACTTGTTACAAATGACTAAAATTTTTATGACCACTTGTTCAAAAGCACTGTGTGTTTGTATACAACGAAAACCAACGGTACTTCAACGAACATTTTTTGTGTTCTCTTCTTTTGTTACATTCTTTTTGTTTTTACCATTTTTTTAAACCATTCGTTATACTGAGCTTGAAAATTATAAAACATTCGTTATATAAGGTAGTCAATGTAAGAAATTTACCCATTCGTTATATCCCGAATTCGTTAAGGTGAGGATTTGTTATTCCGGGCTTTGACTGTATTAATAACAAAGCTTTTTACGAAAATGTATGTATTCCTGTCATTATAATTTTCTAAATACACGAAATTTAATTGATATTGAGGGTCTAATGCCCACTAATGTTTGTCCGCCCACTTATGTAATTATTTATTAATACCATAATGTTTAACCATTTATTAAAAACAAACTGCATTGCAGTAAAAGTGATTAAAAAGGATTAATTTAATACATATAACAATATAATTGCTGGTTGCATAAAACTAAATGTTGAAAATTTAATTTTCAAATACGAATAACTCCTAAGCTATAAATTTATTTTAATATTCTTTACAAAAAACCACCATTGATTTTATTTGTTCATATACATTTAACCAGAGTACGAAAATAAACTAAACGAAACTTTTGCAATTGTTTTGTTTTGAACTTTGCAGTGAGTAAAACAGAAACAAAACCAAAACAACAAATTCGATTTTCTCATTTGGTTTTGTATTGTTTTTGTTTTTGAGCACATCATGTTCATTAACTCAAATGTATGTACGCAGCTAGATAAGAAAACAATGGGAGCAAAACTGAAAAGTTTTGAGCGAAACATAAAACATTTTCGCAAACGTTTTCTGATGGTTTTGCTCATTACAAAAACATTTTTGTGTAAAATTAAAATAAGACTTGTTGTAGGTTTAAGTTTTTGTAGATGCCTATGTGGAATATAGTAGTAATAAAAACAAAATAAAAACCGTACAAATTAAATGAAATCCACACATACATACTTTATGATTCTTTCATAAAATACGTTTCTGCATTTGTTTTGTTCTCAAATGTACGATTGTAAAAGCAAATAAAAGCAAGTAAATGAGTGAAAAGCCAGCCAATTGTTTTGTTTTCGCTCTTTCTCACTTGAGTTTTGTTTTAGTTTTGCTCATGTACAAAACAATTTAAAAATTTTGAAAAGTTTTGTACATTAGGAAAACGTTTGCAAAATGTTTCGTTTGTTTTCATACTCTGCTTTTAACAAATTTAAGTTTTTTCAAACAAAACTGAAAATTTTCTTATGATTTCAACATTTAGTTTTTGAAATTCTCTATAAAAAACGAATACGAACGAAGCAATAGGATCGTGTTACAAATTTTCGTGACATTCCAACATGTTGGTCATCTCTCCCAAATTCAGCTATCACATGTTCGGTTTCCATCCAGCCACTTGTGAATGATAGGAAAAAATTAATGGAAACAAAAGATTACTAAAGAAAACTTAAAAAACCTTTAGTAATTTTAACTCAAAGCTATTTTTATCATTATTGCTCAAGGAGGAGTTGAGGGAAGGCAAGGGGAGCCTTCCCAAAAGAAATCAATGTTTTTTCACTATTCCATCGCAATTTTTGATCAATTGTTGTGGTCCAAAATTAATATATTGGATTAAGTGCGATGGTCTGAGCAGGTTATTCCATTTTCAGTGTTTTTTTTTTTCTAAAATTATGTTGTTTTACTTTATCGAGTCCCCAAGTCCACTTCGAAGGCACTGCCCATTAAATTTTACTACAATACGTTCACAGAGTGCTCACTAGATATTTTTGAGTTAATTCTGCCTTCCAATATACAAAAATGTATAAACAGTGGCGCAGTGTTATAAAGCCATAGGTAATAAAGCCATATGTCCTTATTTCTCAATGAAATGAGAAATATAACCATATGGCTTTATTGCCTACACCCAAGTGCAATATCACCATAAACTAAAAGTAACCAAAGTGGAAATAACGCCATAACAGTGAAATAGTTACGGTTACAAATTGCCAAAAGAATCAGTTGCCAATAATTCCTCAAAATTCAAAAATGAAATAAATCCCTAAAAATACTTTTGGGAAGTTATTTCATTATATTACTTTTATATCACGAAATAGAAAAAATATATGTTTGATAGCCGGCCTTCGGCCGGGCGCCAGGGTTTTCTCCTCTGAGATATATTGGACACCGGCTTCGCTAAAAATACACTTTCCGTGTAACAAGAGCGTTCGACAAAGGTAAAAAGCATTATTGTAAAAAAATAAAAAAACACTGAAAAATAGGAATGACCTGGTCAGATCAAATCCATGCAATAGATTAATATTGGACCAAAATTGTTTAAAAAAATTGGATCAGACATGGATTTATATTTAATATATTGATATAGAGGAATGCTAAGGAAATGGAATGAGAATAAGACAGTTACGGACAAATTTATTATTTTGTCCGATAGTGTGTGTAGGTACTGTAGTGGCAAAAACATTCGGAACAGATTCAAAATTGTTCTTAATTTATTTTTAAACTGTTAATAATTATTGATTAAATTTAGTATAAATGTGAAGATTTACTTCAATATTATTTATAAACATAAACACATAATAATTTTATCTCAAAATAAAGTTAAAAAATGTTATATTATGTGAGGTACCCGATATCAAAGTGTTCAAAAGATATGCTACTCGTATTACTTGCAATCCATTTTAAGTCTCTAGGTCTTTTCTATCTATCCGAAATTTTTTTACTAGATATCTTTCTTACTTATTTATTGGCCTATCGGTACTTTCTTTGTTCATTAAAAGACAAATTGTTAATTTGGGCAAATTAAACTTTATGAAGAATTATTTTTGAAATATTTTGCATACGATATCGATCGAAATCTCAATAGAATCTAAATGGAGATTTCGATCGATATCGTATGTCATAATTTGGGCCCAGAATTTGTTTAATATCGGGCCATTTTTCGCAAAAATTGGTCTTCGCTATTTTCAATTCAATATTTAATTGAAATGTAATCGAAATATATTTTCTTATCAAATTTAAAACTCGTAAATTAAAAAAAAGTAAAGTAAATCTTCATATTTATACTAATTTTAATAAATAATCATTAACAATTTAACAATAAATTAAGAAAAATGTAAAATGTTGATTCTGTTCCGAATGTTATGACCACTACTGTATATTAATTAATATTTCATTATTGAACTAATTTTAGTGCTTTTCGGATAAAAAAAAAGTACATTTCTATGACGAACAGAAAAATACTTTCCGTCTCTGGCTCTCATTTAAAAAAAAACAACGACAAAACAATTTAGTATTTCTTTGGCAATTTAATATTTTGAGTTGATTTTTTCGTTTCAGTCTGTTACTTGCATATTTTTTGTTGCTTTCCGTGTATTTCTTTGTGCCTTCAAATTTGCTATTGGCCCTTTCGATTTTTATTTATTTTTTTTTTAATTTTGTTGTATAATTATGTAATTAAAATAAATTAAATTTTTAAAGCAAATATTTATATATAGTACATATATATGTATAAATGTGTGTATAAAAGAATCCATCTTCCCAAGAAATTTCCATTGACTTGTTGCAGATTAATCTCACTCATAGAGTTGTTTTGAGTTTTGGAATTTGACATTTGAAGTGTTTCTTAAGTGTTGTAAAGTGATTCATTAAACGTTCACCTATATCAGTAATCAACTGTAAAATACGAACATAATCCCCGATATAACAATAAAGATACATTTTGTTCAAAATAAGCGAGATAAAATAGAAATAAGTTTCATATTATATATTGATTATAATTATAGTCGATTTTCCCAACATACCATTTTTTCTTTTATGTTGTTTACGTTTTTGTTTTATCGCTTTCCAACACTAACATTACAGCAACGATTTGACAATCAACAGACTCTCCCCATTTCATGAGTGATTTTTTTTTATTGTATTGCACAAAGCGATTTACAAATCATAAATTTATTTATAAATTTACGAAGATTCTTTAAATAATACATAATTTTAATATACAAAATTAAGTTCCCTCCAATGAGTGTGTAGTTAAAAAAGTAATTCTCGATAAAAAAGGAAGAGATATTGTAAAAAGAAAAAATAAGCTTGCAATCACTTCCGTTCGAAAGAAAGACAGCACAAAGGGAAAGACAAAAAAGTACGTGAAATCGTTTTCTTTTTATGCATTAATAAAAACGACATTTGCCTTAGTTGCTGTTGATCTTAAATAAACGCCTATAAAAATTGGTAAAGTAATAGAGAAATTATTTATAAAGAGCAGAAAATTTAAATAAAAAATGGTTGATCGTTTGGTGAATTCGGAAGCAAATTCCAGGCGTATAGCCATGGTGGAAAACTGTTTTGGCAGTTCGGGTGTGCCTTTAGCAATACCAGGACGGGTATTGGTTGGTGAGGGTGTATTAACCAAAATGTGCCGAAAACGACCCAAGTCTAGGCAGTTCTTCCTCTTTAACGATATTTTGGTGTACGGCAATATAGTCATAGGAAAAAAGAAATACAATAAACAACATATAATGCCTTTGGAAGAGGTCTCATTGGAGAACATAGATGACTGTGTACAATATCGCAACGGTTGGTTGATACGGACAACAACAAAATCGTTTGTGGTATGCGCTGCAACAGCAACAGAAAAACAAGAATGGATGGCTCATATTAACAAGTGTGTAGAGGATTTGCTCCGTAAATCTGGTAAGAAGCCTGTAGAAAATCATGCTGCCGTTTGGGTACCAGATGCTGAGGCAACGGTTTGCATGCACTGCAAGAAAACTCAGTTCACAATGATCGTGCGACGTCATCATTGTCGCAACTGCGGAGCTGTCGTGTGTGGTCCTTGCTCCTCTAAAAAATTCTTATTACCACAACAGAGCTCCAAACCACAACGTGTTTGCACCTCATGTTATGAGCGTCTCAGCAAAGCTGTTAAACAGGAATCGTCCAAAATTCATTCTGCAGTCAACAACCAATCTCACAATGACTCACACGCCAATACGGCCGAATCATCAGGCGATGATGATTCCGATGAAGAGACGAACGGTGCTGGCACCGAACAACATGATCAACCGAAATTTTATGGTGATACCAGCATCTTATCAGCTAATGATTCAACAAAGAATGAAACGTCCTCTTCAGCCACCCAGCTGAACTCTAGTCACTCACCCAGTAACTGATATTTGCATAAATTGGAAAAAGGTTGGGTGTGGGTGGTTAAGAAATCGAAATGAGAAGCGTTTATTATTCAAATGTTATTAAAACACCAGTTGTTATTATAGCAGTTAATGTATTTTTAAAATTTTATATTTGTAATTATTTAAAATATTGCCTTATGCACTTCGTTCATCAACGTTTATCAATGGCTAAATTATTCTACGGTTATTTCTTAAAGAAATGGTAAGTGTTTTGATAAATTTTTTAAACATTTAGTCAGGTACATAGACACTTATGTATTTGTCTTTATACAATCCTTGTAATCTGCATTGAAAAATATTTATCAATTCCTAAAACAAGCACTTATGTATGTATGTTCAGATGTTTACACTGACTTGTAATAGGAACATGAGTTTAGTAATCTTATAATATATGTATTTGTTTCTTTTGACACACAAACGTACCTACATGAATACATGGAATCCAACAACAATTTACTAATTATAAAACAACCTGTTTATCTGTTTATTCTCTAATATTTTGGCGTTTTTATTTGTTTTATTTTCTTATTCAATAAAAGATTTAACTTTAATGAATCGTATTTCAGTAAGATTACGGAAGATATAGAGTAAACACACTGTAAAATTACATTTGCACAAAGATTTATCAAACACAATCTACGAACTTTGAACTCTGTTTTATAATTTCCCATATATACATTTAAAATTTCTATAAAACAAACGAATAAATAAATTAGTATGCTTATAAGAAATGGATAGATCGCAGAAAAAATTGTTGGTGTTAGTTCCATAACTAGTTCTAGAACGCATATTTTAGCGTGAACATATTCCAGTTTGGCGGTGAGACCAATGATTTTTGAGAGTCGACACGAATTTTTTGAATCAGTTCTGGAACTGGTTCATTGATGAATGTTTTTGTTCGGTTTTGTTATCCTTGAACTATCTCTAGGAACGGTTTCCAGAAGTAATGGTGACATCAATAGTTCCAAGGAATATGAAGTGGTTCTGTTTGCACCCCTTCTAAATTTTTTTGGAACAAGTTCTAAAATGTTTCCTGGTATATTTTAAATAATTGTATAAATGATATTACCTTAATGCACATTGGTACAATGTGATCATTTTTATGTTAGACTGACTCACTCCGTATAGAAAACAAAATCGTGTTTGAGGACAGCTTTATTATTTTTTAAAACAATATATTCAATATGTGGGGTTTAAAGCCGCATCCAATGGTTTCTAAAACATAAATAATTATGTTTAAACGAAACTTAAGATAATAAGGTACTATTTTATAAAAATACGGATGCGGCTTCAAAAAACCCTTAATATTAATATTATTGCTAAGCAATACATGTTTATATTTTGGCCTTATGGGCTTTGTATTCTAATTATGAATAAATAAATAATGTATATTTTGCGTAAGAATAATATTACAATTAAAGAATAAATAAAAATGGTCTTTTTTGAAAACGCCCATCATAAAATAAAACAAAGTTTTCTTGAACCTGAGTGAGTGCAGTTTTTGGGTAACATCATATGACATTACAAGATATACATGTCGTTCCCACGACAATTGGATCTTCGCTCCGGAACGACCCGAGTCATACTCGGCCAAAGATTGTCAACCCAGCGACAGCTGTATCAACCGAAAGTTTTTCCCCAGGAAAGAACTATCGGCCACAGTCGAACTGTTACAACAACAACGAGATATACATATATATTTTGAGAGGAGTAACACAAGCACAATTTGTATGAGTCGGTCTAATGTATATTAAAAGTATGGCTCACTTACTATTTTTCAAACCCATGATTATTTCTCGTAACAATCTTTTTTGAGTTATGGCAGTTTTGTAATAAATGAGCAATATATCATTTGTCAACACGTGAGTCAACAATTAATCATAATTTGTTTAAATCGCAACAGAATGCAAATCCAGCTTCAATCCAAATTTATAATCATTTATGAGCTTTACTTTGTCATATTTCATAAATTATTTCTACATAAAAAATGACTCATTCCTAAGTTCAAGACCAAGTGATTTTGTGTTTTATATTGATAAATAATGACTATCCGATCTTTGTAAACAGAATTTTACATGCTTTACTTATTTATATTAGTTATACAGTACAGTGTTTGCATTTTATAAAAATTGATTTTGATAAAAATTGGTGCCATTTTTTTCCGGGTGCTATTTTTTTAATGTTGACGTCTAAAAGTAAAATCTTAATAGTATATTTTAGTATGTTCTTTATACAATAACGATTGCTCTGGTTGACGAAAGCTATAGTCATTATATTGACATTATTATTTAACGTTAGTTTAAAATTATTGGAAGTTTAATTTATGTTTATTTATAAAAAAAAAACATTTCAAAGCGATTTGTACCATTTTGTGCCGCTTGTTATTATATATCGTCACCTGAAATGTTAAAAGACGTAACAACAAAAAAATTGAAAATCGATTTTTTGATTGAAAATGGTCCATTACATCGAATTACATATTGTCGCAAGTTTTTATAACTTTATTGTCAAAAACACCAATTTTATTAACATGAAATTCAGGGTGTAACAACAAATTAGTCATTTCTACAAGACAGAATGTCCTAAAAAACAACACAATAGACAATGTCTGGAGTCACACTTATATTCAAACATGTTTATTGACGTTAGGATATAATACGTGGAGGAAAGATACATTTTTATAACAACAATAGTATTAATTTTATTTAGTTTTTTGTTTCTTCTGTAAAATTTTGAAAAGTGTTCGCCTTTTTGCATTTCAGGTGACGATATGTATGTACATATGTGATTGTAATTGTTCAACAAAACATTTTTTACTTGCATATGTACATACATATCGTCACCTTAATATAAAAAGTAAATTTTAATTTTCTAGTAAAATTCCGAGGAATAAACTATGTATTTCCAAAAAGTTTTTTGATTGTTTTGATATAATAACTGTTGAATAAATAGTTTAAACTACATTAAACCTTTTTCTTCATCTTATCCATTGGTTTTTTTAAAGATTTCTTTCACCTTTCGAAAAATAATTTAAATGTTTAGATACGTATTAAGGTTGCAATATATTGAAATATTCTTGTACAAAATAAGATTTTAAGTACGTACATATGTATGTATGTAAGTAGATAGTATAAACATAGTTTAAGCCAATAATGTAATTTTAACAGTAAAACAAAAAAAAAAAAAATATATATATATATATATATATATATATCTAACTTATTTACTTTTTAAATGGATTGTTTATTATTTGTTTGTTTCTTTTTAGGAGGAAGAAGAACGTAAAAAACTTGAAAAGGAGCGCATTAAGGAATTAAGAAAAGCTGCTACTTTCAAAGCACGACCAAATCCCTTTAAAAATTAAGACATTTTTATACGAGAAAGATTTTTATCTAAAAGAAAAATTGTTAAAAACTTAAATTATAAAATTGTGTTTTGTTACTTACAAATAGTTTTAATTGTAAAAACAAGTCGAATATTAAAATTTTTCCTTTTTACGAAATACATCAACAATAACATATAATAAACTAAGGAAAAACTTCGCTCTGTTGAGGGGTTTATCTATAAAAATATTTTTTGAATGTACAACAAACAGTTAATTAATATTTCAAAATTTAGATATAACGCAGACAGCCAGCCAGCCAGCCAGCCAGTCAGCCAAGCCAGCCTTCACGTTTACAAATACACAAACACACTAAAGATATGAAAAAATAATAACAAGTTTAAAATTTTAATTTCATTCATTATAATTTTTATTACTTTTTAACTACTTGTACTAACACTTTTTTCGAAGATTGCTATAATGCAATGCAACACATATTAAAAAAGAAAATCTTGCGTTTATGTAAAAATTGTTTTAATTATTATATATTTTTATATTTCTTAGAATACTGTAAAAACAATTATATTGATTTTAATAGAGTACGTCTATAATAAAATATACTAATTACCACTCACACTATTTTATTTTATTCAATTTGTATTTTACTGTCCTTTTTTAAATTAAAAATAATTTTTTTTAAGATCTAATTGAATTTTTAATTTTGCTCTCATCTGTTTACTTTCAAATATCTGTAATAAAAAAGTTGTTAAATAAACAAAACACGTACATACATATGTACACGCTCATTTTGTGGTGATAATTTTTCGTAAAAATTAACGATCACTGGAGTCTTATACGTTTGTTAAAAACTTTAAAATAAAATGAATAGGTAGGATAATATTTTCTTCACCCATATTCTGCATTTCAATTCAAATCGAAATTCTTTTCGGCAACTTTGCTATTCTGCATTTCGATTCGACGCTGCGTTATCTTTTTTCGATTCCTTTTTTTGTTGAAATACATTTTTTTTCGATCGTAGCGTAATCGAAATGCAGAATAGGTGTGATTATTTTTTTAACTTCATTTTAATTTGTTGTTAAATTTTTTCTTTACAATCAATCCACATACAATACATAGTAGTGTTCAAATTTGTCGCCTTGATAGTTAAGAATAACCTTATACAATTTGGATTAAATTTGTAAAATATCAAGATTAAAAACTGTATACAATTTAAAACATACTGATATATTATACTAACAATGCCTAATACATATATACCTAGTTATTAACAATATAAATTATTTTTATATAAAACTGCAAAAAAAAAAAAAAAAAAAATTAAATGCCTCTTTATTAATAAAGTGTAATTGGTTTGTATTGATTTATGCAAAATTGGACTTTGAAAACACCATAAAATAAAATTTTTAAATGGAGTAACCGCGGCCTATGGGCCGGTAACTTACATATACATATGTACCTAAATTTTATTTATTGTTCCCAAAGGGTCCATATTTATTTATACTAGTATAAATTCAAACTTTTCAGTTAAATTATAAATGAAAATGGAAAGGAAAATGAAAATCAATTTTTAATGATTTTTAGTTTTTATGTATTAAATAATTTGTTAGCTGTTTCAGTTTTTGCTTTGTTTGAGAACAAACTAAGAAAATTCAAACAAATTTAATTTTTTACAATTTTGCTTTAAAATTCTATATCAGGCAATTTAATATTACTTTTTAAATCAGAATCAGATTACGGAAACTGGTAGTTGGTAGTCGAGTATACGAAGAGAGCATACGAAGTTATGTTCAGGATCCCTTAGACCGGACTTCGTATACAGCAGCTTTGAACGATATTCATAGAGACGCCATCAATACCGCGGTTTCAGGTTACCGCATGAATGTCGTTCTTGGAGGTCGCCCACCGCCCATAGCAGAAATAGAGAAGAACCTGCCGCGGAATACAAGAGTTGCTCTGGCACAACTGAGATCGGGATGGAGCAACAGGCTCAACGCCTACTGGTCCCGCATAGACCGTGCCGTCCCCAATATATGCCCATCTTGTGGACAGGGTCCCCATGATACCCACCACATTTTCAACTGTCCAGCCCACCCTACTTCACTTAGCCCAATGGATTTATGGACTAACCCTGTTGAAGTAGCCCAATTTCTTGGCTTGGACCTAAATACAGAACCCCCGGATTAAAATTGTATAGTTTAAGCTGTTACAACAACAACAACAACAACAACGGAAACTGGTTGAGAATTCAGTATCAAAATTTGTACCATCTGACAAAAGCATGTAAATATGTAGTTAAACTTTTTATTATATGTATGTAACTTAGTGAAATAATTTTTTCTAGACTTACCTCTGTATTCATAAATGTTTAAAAAAGTTGTTGTTTATTGTAGGAATTTTATATAGAAAATATGCATAATAAACCTAAAATAAACGATTAATCGTGTCTGATCTGTAAACCGAATCCGAGAAAAATTATCGTTTAAACCCGAATTAACTTTTTTTGGTTTTCCTAAATCGAATTCACATAATTTTAATCGTTTTAAAACCGAGTAAACTGCCCTAGTCGAAAGTAAAACAAAACCATTAATATATAAGCTATAAAGCCTTTTTTATTAATTCTGTCATTTTCATGAAAATAAGATTTTGATGGCAAAATATTCAGCAAACTATCCCGCATCAGTGACATAAATAAAAAAATGTTTTTTGGCTATTTTATAGAAATTTTTTAAATTCTTTATCATAAAAAAAGAAAAATTCTGAATGCAAAACTCTCTATCTTATCTAAAAATTGCTTCAAACTCTATTATTTTGGATAAATTTTTCTGTTGCAAACAAGTGATTTTACTAATTTGGACATGCTGAACACAAATCCGCTAAAATATTAAAAATCGGTTTAATAGTTTTCTTCTTTTTTAATTTATTTCTAAATAAACCTAGCCTATCGGCCATAATCGGTTACAAATTTCTACTTAGAAAAAATAATTTATACATAAAAAATGTAATCATATAACAAATAATTTAAAATAAAAAATAACTTATAAATAAAAATAAATTTTAAAATAATTAAAAAAAAAAAATATTAAAAGTTGTACCGCCAAAATTTAAATCCTAACTTTTCGAGATATCGCTCATTATGATACTAATTTGATTAATTTTATTGCCGTGTTTAACTATATAACATTGATTTTACACCAAAAACTTATATGTTGCTTTTTCAACAATTTGGTTTATATTACTTCATTTTAAATTGCATAAAATATAATAGTTTTGATATTTAATAAAAAAAATTATATTTCTATGAAAAACTCTCTATCTGATATAAATTTGTGAATAATTTTGCAAACAATGCAAAATTTTAAATTCTTTTTTATATAAGGATTTAGAATATGGTCCTAAAAATATATTGTATAAGAAAAAATTCAAAAATCTTCAGGAACTAGCGAAATGAAGTTTTTTTGCTCTCCTGAAAATTTGTATTATTTAAGATAGAGACTATTGAATATAGTCCCTCGATATTTTTATTTTTTTTTTTAAACTCTGTAATTTGTTGACGGTGTATTTAAAACACTCAAAATGCCAGGTTATCCCACTTTGTTTCGGAGAGAGCCCTCCAATCGACCTATACCTTTATATAGGAAGTTGGAGCCCCGAACAATTAATTAATCAAAAGTATTTGGTCTCCACCAATTTAATCAAACAACCTTCAAAGAGGTAAGTTAATAGAAAGCACGCAATTAATGCAAACAATGCATAACTTGGAAACAGTTATACGGAGTAATACACTCATCTGGTGCGAGCAAGACGTTACTCTGTCGAAAGCTTGGAAACAAACACAAGCCTGATCGTCTTTAAGAAATAATGGCGATGACGCGAGTTGTTCCCCAACTCAGACCTGAATTATGACTCGAGTCCCTCGATAAATTAAAAATATAAATTCGAATAATTTGCAGAACGCCAAATAGGCATTAATTCGGAATCTCTCGTTTGTAAAACTATAGTTATAGTGGAACAAATAACATTCATCACTAAAAATATGATATATATATGTATATATTAGAGTGCTCCAAGCTTGTATGAAGGAAAAAAAATTTATCCGACAGGCCGTCCCCCCCTCTGGAATTGTTCTATGGGTTGTAAAACTATGTCATGCAAAAAATTAGGCTGATAAGATAACGTTAACAGGTGCCGCAACGGCTCAGAAGTTTCCAAGTGCATTTACAAGGGGAAAAAATCGATTTTTTTCAGTTTTTGCTCAAATTTTGCAACTTAATAATAAACTTTGCACTTTATTGTAAAGGAATCGTAATGTGCACAGAATAAGCATTTCAGAAAGATATAAAACACAAAAATTGGTTGAAAATTTTTAAAGTTATTGCAAATTCCCCAGGCCATTAACGTGTCTCACAGCACATGAATTCGAAATGTGACAAAAAAATTAAAATTTTTTAGGACATATTGTAAAAAAACCATTTTGTTACTTAAAATATACTAAAAATTACTTGAATACTAGCTTTTGTCCTTATACGATAACGCAAACTTGTTCTCAGCTATGGTCAAAAAAGTTTGATTTTTTCAACGGCCGTTTCAAATCTCCAATTTCAGTTTTTTTGAAACTTTGTTAAACAAATTTTAAAATTTTTAGAAGATCTCATGGGAATTTATGGACAATAGATAAGGGAATAAAACGGTAAAAAATTAGATCAATAATTCTTACAGTTTAGCTGTACCTGCGATTTGAACTCGGCGGATTTCGGGAAAATCGCATTTTTTTGTAATATATTAGAGAATACGTATTAATTTTTTACTGTTGTACATTTTAAACAAAGTATTTTCAGAGTATTATAGACCAGATAATATAAAATATATATTCCAAGTTTTATTCAAATCGGACATTCTTAACCCATAAAATGTGGAGTTCAAAGGTTAAATTTTGCTATATTTGGGAATTCTCAGTGCACCATATTAAAATATTAATTATTTGTTGGCCATATTTACCAAAAATTACTGGAATTTATCGTATAAAGTCCGATATTTAAAATAGAGTGAAAAAAAGGTAAATTAACACTTTAAGGCACTTGGGAACAATTTAACACCAAAGTTCAAAAATTTGAAAAAGCACTATCCATTTGAATAAAGCTCTATATAATTAGAGAAATAGCAGAAATATAACAAAAACGTATATATTAAGTATAAAAAATTATACTTTAACCCTTTTCGACTATGGAGTAAACTATAGGTGTACATTTTTAAAAGAAAAATTTTGTTTTTAAAACTGATAATTTATGTAGTCCATTTTTTCGGACCATTTTCGACATAATATGTCTAAAAATACAAACTTTATAGGTTCAAAAAGGGTTAATTCATAAGTTTTTATACCTAATATATATTTTTTTGTTTTATTTATGTTATTCCTCTAATTATATAGAGCATTATTCAAATGGATAGTGTTTTTACGATTTTTTGATCTTCGGGGTTAAATTTTTCCCATGTGTTTTAAAGGGTTAATTTTACTTTTTTTCGCTGCTATTTTAAACATAAGACTTTATACTAAAAATTCAAGTCATTTTTATTAAATATGACCGACAAATACATAATATTTCGATATGGTACACTGA